ATTTTGCAAAACAGGCTTCTTGAAAAACAATAATGTTCATAAAACATTTTGAGCATCATATTACTATAGTGGGACATATCTTAATTTTTTTCTAAGTATGTTAGCTTCTTCACAATGACTGTGACTTAAGTGTAATATCAATGAAAAATTAGCCATCTGTCATTCTACTAATAGTGTTATTTTCCTGATGTTTAAAAAATAATTCAGATATTGCATTTCAAAAATAAAAACATGCCAACAAGAAAGCAAATATATATGAATTTGTTGAAAAGTAGTTGAAAGTAATACTTATGCATAAGTAGACATCTTCCTCTCTTGTTTATTTTTTCTGTTCAAAAATATATAAAACTGATATATCATGGTAACACTGGATGTAGTAAGTGTATAAAAACATGGACTAAATACACTACAAGTTCATGACATTACCTCTGGGAAAGGAGAGGCGAGAGGGAATGAATGAAAAAAAACATAGGGGATTTCAATTTTATCTGCAAAGTTTTATTTCTTTAAAAAACAATTGATCAGAAACAATTTTTTAAGTTAGTTTTCTTTTCATTTGCTGGTATGCACATGAAGATATTTTGAAATGTCCTTTGTTATATACCAGACTTTAAAATTTATCCGAAGTATTTTACTTAAAAAGATAACTTACTTAAAGAACAGAGCATTTCTAAACAACTGAGTGATCAGGGGACTAAATCAGATTTATCATTTACGTACAAAATTTATTTAGAGCTATTTCTCAGTTTATTTAACTGCAGGAGATCAGACATATCTCACTAATGCCCACGTATAAAAAGAGTTTTAAGATTAGAATGTTATCTGCCCTATATTCTTTTACTCTTCAATTTTAATCCTTAAACTACTTTTTCTTCTAAGGACTATCAAAGCTAAGTCAAATCACCGAAGAAACAAAACACAGTTGTTCTTATAAACTTAGAAGGCTTTAAGTAAGTCTTCTAGAGAAAAATTAGTATATTATGACTTCTTATTCCAGGCAACTACGCATCTACCAAAAATGGAGTATAATACGGAAAACTTTCACAATCTAAAGATAATCGCCAATGACAATGAATGAAAAGTCAAGTAGCTCTAGCTGGTTGCTCAGTGGTTAGAGTGTTGGCCCACAGACTGGAGGGTCATGGGTTCGATTCTAGTAAAGGGCATTTACCTCAGTTGCAGGCTTGATCGCCAGACTTGGTTGGGACACATGTAGGAGGCAACCAATTGATGTGTCTCTCTCACATTGATGTTTCTCTCTCTCTCTGTCTCTCCCCTTCCCTTCCACTCTCTCTAAAAATCAATGAGGGGGAAATATCCTCAAGTAAGAATTAACAAAAAAGAAATTAAAGTAAATGATAAATAATTAGGAAAAACATTTTCAGCATATTAGTTACTATCACTACATTAATATTTTAAATGGAAGACAGATAATTATTCAAAATAATGATCTCCTAACCTATATTTAATTGTATAAAAATTATCTTTCACAATAATCTAATTATTATTATTATTATTATTTGGTCTTTAAAACACACCTCTTTCCTATGTCAGGGTTTTTTCCTATGTAGTCTCCTTTTCAAGAACTTTATTCCTTCAACTCTCTAAATGGCCAGTTTCTTCTCATCCTCAGGCCTACAAGTCACTAGATGTAGGCATGTCCTGTGATATTTTTTAAATTTATTTATTTTATTTTATTTTGGTGTGCTCAATCATATGAGAATAGATAACACTGTCAGGCAAAAATCTTTCAGGGCCAGTGTACAAGTCACCAGATCCTCCTTCCTTGTTTCGGTTACCATGGATGCCTGTGCTGAGGTAGTCTGCTTTGCTCTGCATGCCTGAGATGAACAAAGCTCCCCAACAACACTGGACACTTGGTTATGTAGGGTGAACAGAAATTAGCCTTTGTTTATTAAGTAAACAAATTGCAAAGATTTTATGATTGTTTGCATAAAACCATAACCTAAATAACCTAGATTCTAGGTCCTAGAACATCCTAACTAATACAAAGTCTCAGATTAAACAGCATCTCCTCAAAGTGGAATTTCTTATACAATCATTTAAAATTGTTTTAATTCATTATCTTAGAAACCTCTTTGTTTCCTACAGAACATTTAGCACTATACAGGCAGTCCTCAGATTAGGTTGGACTCAACGTACGCCGTATGTCATTTCGTGGTTCGTCACCATCCCCGACTTATTTATAAAAAAGTTGCATCATTTTGATGTATGTACATATGTGCTTTATGTTTTTTATTATTTGCCACAAGTAAAGGTCAGGAATTGTTATCTTTCTTTTAATTTTTTTTACTGTTTCACTTCATTACTGCTGTGTATGTGCTCCATGTAAGTGACATAGGTGCTTATGTAGGTGGGTTCCAACTTATGGCAAAAATTGCGTTATGTCGCACCGTAGGAATGGACCTTCACCATAACCCGAGGACCTACTGTATATGAACAAAGCTCCCCAACAACACTGGACACTTGGTTATGTAGGGTGCCAGTACTAGAAAGCAAATTTAAACTAAATATGACCACAGGAGGTTGGCTGTGGGAGCACACTGACCACCAGAGGGCTGCTCCTGTGTTGAGCGTCTGCCCCCTTGTGGTCAGTGCGTGTCATAGTGACTGGTTGACTGGTTGTTCCGGTGGTTTGGTTGTAACGGTTGCTTAGGCTTTTATATATATAGATATGGTTTCTATGTTTTAAATTTTCCCAGACTGTACAAAAGGAATTTCAAATGTCTTGGTTATAGTGGTTTCCCTAGTACCTAGCACAGTGATCAGCAGACAACATCTTCTTAGTAAATACTTGTTAAATGAATGTTTCACTTTATTTTATTTAAAATAATATATTATGCTCTTTACAAATTCTGATACATAGTCAACATGCTTGGGCAAGAAATTCCAATGACAAAAAAAGTTAAAAGGTACAATAAATTCTCACAACACATAAAAGTTCTAAATTTGAATATCGGCATGACTTACAAGCTATCTATTTTACATTTGGAACCCAACTGCTTCAATTTAGAGAATATCAATTACAGATTCCTTCATTTATAAAAAAAATAATTTCAGATAAAGTTAGTCACAGTTCACATCAAGTGTAATTAAATTTATCCAATATATAAAAAGCCCTAAAGTTATAAAAATGGCATTTTATTGAAGTTATAAAAGACACATATACTAAGCTAGAGTCCTTATTTTACTGCTAGCAATTTAATAAATGTTTCAATCACATTTATGACTATTTCATTTTCCACATATCTTTTGCTGCCAGGCTAAAACCCTTAGTAGTTCATGCTACAATAAACCCAGACCAAGAATCTATTACAAAAATGAATTTTAGGTTGGCTTCCACTGAAGTCTTCTTGTTCAACTGCCAGGGTCTCAGGTAAAAACAGTTACTACACTAACAATCTTTGTCAGCTGCCATACTTTGCCAATGACTACATATCAACCATGGATTGTTGGTGAGCTGCAATTTATCATACATTTTGTGGTAGAGTTTAGCATGCCTGGTGGTCTTCACTCAATGACATTTCAAAACTACCATCAGACAAGCCAAAATGCCAGTACTAGAAAGCAAATTTAAACTAAATATGTTAAAAATGAACATTTCTATGCAATCATGCTAAATCAATAGTAGCAATTACACCTGTGGCAATTTAGCTTGGATTCCTACTCACTAAGAAGTATTTGACCAAGATAGCCCACAAAACACCTGATGAAATTTTACTTGGAGTATTTGTTCTTATAAAAATTATTTAATTAAATTTTCCTCTAATATGGATTTGTTCTTTTCTCTTTTAGATGTTTTTATACTTTTATTTTCATATACTTGCATTTAAAATATATTTTTTTTCCTTTTAATACTGCTTAAAAAATGTTTACTGCAATCAGACAATGTATGCCTCTATACCATAATGATAAAAGCCCTGGCCTTCTATAAATGTGTTTATATCTATGTCATGTAATCATTAATGAAAATAACAACAGCTAAATTCATTTTTAAAAGGAAATAATTCTGATTATTTACAATAAAAATATTATCAAATAATTATAAAATACTTATAAGCATGAGGTATTGTTCTAACTGCTTTATTAACAATAATGCATTTACTTTTTAAAGTGAGATAGGTGTAACTATTATACTCAATTCACACATGAAGAAACAGAGGTTCTTCAAGGTTAGGTGCTATGTTCAAAGCAATATAGCAGCGTAAAAAAAAATGTATGTATATGTTATTAGTGTAATGTACTCCCAGGAGAAAAAATAGTATACAATAGCAGTACAACAGAAAGAGTAGACTCCGGAATCAGGCAGATCTGGGTTCCAATTTAAGTGTCATCATTTACAAGCTTCTTGACACTTAGGGACATAATTCATAGAAAGAGCCTTACCACAGAGCAGGTGCTCATTTAAAAAGCTATTTATTGTATCATTATTTAGACATGCATTCAGTAACTTTCTGATAACAGTCAGCATTTTCCAAGCATTATAAGAAATATAAATTTTTATAAAAATAAATAAATAAATCATGCAAAAAGTTATTTTAGCCATGCTGGTGTGGTTTTACCCATGAACCAAAAGGTCACAATTTCATTCCTCGTCAGAGCACATGCCAAGGTTGTAGGCTCAATCCCCAGTAGGGAGAATGTAGGAGGCTGGCAATCAATGATTGTCTCTCATCATTGATTTTTCTCTCTCTTCCCTTTCCCTTCCTCTCTGAAATCAATAAAAACATATTTTTAAAGAATTATTTTATTATTTTGACAATTTGAGATTAGAGCCAAATCCAATTCAAGTACTAAAAAATAAAAAAATAACCAATTTCATGCAACTTAATTTCAATATATATACGCCATATTGATGGTGAGAAAGGTTTGTGAAAAAGAAATAAGTGTTAGTTATGAGAACTTCCACTGACATTTCTACTAAAGACAAAACCAATACTGTTGGGATTATTCATGGAAACTGCAGCAAATGCAAAATAATCTATATAATAAAAGCCCAAGCAACCATTACGGTGGAACAATCAGTCGCTATGAAGTGCACTGACCACCAGAGATAGACGCTCAACGCAGGATCTGCCCCATGGTGGTCTGTGCACTCCCATAGGGGGAGCAGCCACTCAGCCAGAAGCTGGGCCCATGGCTGGCGAGTGCAGCAGTAGTGGCGGGAGCCTCTCCTGCCTCCACAGCAGCGTTAAGGGGCAGCGAGCTGAGCGGCAGGGAGTGAGCAGGCAGGTGGTAAGGAGTGAGTGATCCCGGATTGCAAGAGGGATATCTGACTGCCAGCTTAGGCCCAATCCCCGTGGGGAGCAGGCCTAAGCTGGGAGGCGGACATCCCCCGAGGGTCCCGGACTGCGAGAGGGCACAGGCCGGGCTGAGGGACCCCTCGCCAGTGCAAGAATTTTGAGCACTTAGCCTCTATTAATTATAATAAAAAAATAACAAAAATCTCCAACCCGTTTCTTAAAATTTTACAGCTTATTCTTCTAAATAGAAACTGAAAAACAAGAGTTTACTTCTTCATAAATTAAAATACTTTATGTATTCGAAAGTGAAAATATCAATGCAAATGCCCACACTGAGACATTGAGTACATACAGTAATGAATGTGCCATCACCAGGTTTATGTACCCCAGACACTCTTCATTTCTTTTTTTTTTTTAAGCTAAGTTTTTTATATATATTTTATTGATTTTTTACAGAGAGGAGGGGAGAGGGATAGAGAGTTAGAAACATCGATCAGCTGCCTCCTGCACATCTCCTACTGGGGATGTGCCCGCAACCCAGGTACATGCCCTTCACCGGAATTGAACCTGGGACCTTTCAGTCCGCAGGCCGACGCTCTATCCACTGAGCCAAACCGGTTTCGGCAGTCTTCATTTCTAATGTCATCCACTTATATCCAGGTATACAACTTAACATTAGCAGTAATAAGCATACAAACAATAAGTAGCAATTTTTTTTACTTTACTGACTAATGGCTTCTACGAAAAGTAAACAAGTTATTCATCTATTCCTTATCCATCAATGACCCAGAAATCTTGGAGTGCATTTTCCCTCCAAGTAGAGTGCCCCTAAATTTTTCTTCATCTATTTATATAATTATTAGTTGACCCAATATTCAGAAAAAGTAAAAACAAAAACCATTCACCATATGTAATTTCTTCAAGTGTTTAAATGATGAACGTAACACCCTAGGTCTAGAGAAAATGATAATATGAGGTGAACAGAGATAATAAAGTCATATTTTGAGTTAAGAAGACAGGAGAAAAATGTCAAAATGAGAAAAGACCTCCTTCTTTGGGTTACAATTAAGAAAGGGTGCATACAATCTGTGCTAGGCTTAAAAATTATCTTTCACGAGTTCAAATAATCTTTAAAAAGAACAGCAAGCTCTTTACTGTACTTTCTAACGTATAATTGGAATTTTCTTGATAAGACACTTAAAGTTTCTGCAATGTAATCAAATGTTCTTAGAACATTGTAAACTATGCTCTTTCTAGGCAGTGACAGACCTTGAGATCCTGAGATTTACTGAAAACAAAAGCAGATTATTGGCAAAAGCCCTGCTGGCATGCTTCCTGCCAGATCAGGTGGTAACAGAATTTAGGGAATAATCACATTTTGTCCACACAAGAACTGGAGCACGTGAAGAGTGTTAGGAATACTATGTCATTAATGCTACCAGAGCTAGGTACAGGCTACAAGCCTGATGACTTTGACACAATGCTGCCATTTATTTCATAGACAATCTTCTTACTCGTTAATAGCACTAAAGTTATGTCTCCAAAGTCATCCCAACATCTGAAGAGGGTACTTTAATAATGTTAAACATGAGCAGGGGAAGCAATGCAACAATAATAACAAACCAAGAAAAATCCCACCTTGATGAATAAAGAAAATCTGTCACCAATTTTAAAGGTGAAAAACCAATCGCTGAATGATGGACATTTTTTTCTCAACATGAACCAAGATTACCCTACTATTAAATTCTATTGAGGGAATTAATGACAGAGGGTTTATTTTCAGATTTTTTTATTTTTAAATTATAGTTATACAATATTATATTAGTTTCAGGTGTACAATATAGAGATTAGACATCTATAACTTATGATGTCTGGTACCCTTCTGACACCATACATAGTTATTACATTATTAATGACTGTATTCTCTACATTGCACTCTACATCCCTGTGACTATTTTTAGAAGTGCCAATTTGTACTAATGACAATTTTTAAAAATACTTTTTTTGCCATTCTCTATCTGACAAAGTGATACTATTTTTTTAAAATGGTCAGAGAAGCTTAAGAAAAACTTAGTGACCTCTAGATTGTCCTTAAGACAGCATCAACTCTATAATGTTCTTGGTATTTAAAAAAGCATATTCATCATAGAAATTCAGTTAACATCTTAAAACTGAACATGTATATATGTTGTTTAGATAAATGTAATCACCATAAGCATCTATATGGTCTGGGATTTTGTTTTCATTTTGAAATGGGAGCTTTCTTGTTTAAAAGTTTATTAAAAACTAAAAATTGTTCTGTAAAAATAGAAAATAAAAATGGTCAGAGAGGAAGAAAGTTGAAGAATTAGAGCATAAAATATTAAAAGGATAAAATTTGGTACACAGAGAGAATACATAGGAAGAAAATGCAGATGAGAAGCTCCATTAACTTGGTCCCCAGAGAAATAACTATAAATGTTAAAAATATTTTTTAAAACAACCATTTCAGGTCTCTGAATATTGTCCTGTGGGCATAAAGCAAACAAAGACACACATATTCAAGAAAATCTATTAAATCTAGGTAAGAAGAACAACATTCTGTGTCACTTGAGCCACAACTTTCCCCCCACAACCCCTCCTCCACCACCGCTAAATTCATTATGATAGAAGCTCCAATCCAGGCAGGTATAACCAATAAAATGGGGCTGGCTTCCTGTCCCCCTCAGTTCTAGGTCAACAGCTATGGTATCTCCCCAGAAGGAGTAGCTGCCAGTGTTCTCCCCTCAGCTTTGTGTTATAGAGGCTAAATTCCAAGTGAGTGTGGCAAGAGGTTGGGGACCTCTTTCTTCACCCGGCCCCACCACTTGTAGGATGGAGGCTTCAGCCCAGGTGCAGGAGACTAAGAATACTCACTGCCTTCACCCTGGCATGCTAATAGGACAGAAGTTCCATGCCAGGAGAGGCGAGCCCAAACACCAAATGTTACCCAACCCACACAGCATCCTACGCATAAAACTGGATGTCCCTTTTAGACAGACCACTATCCCTGCCTCTAATCCAGAGCAGCAGCTCAGTGATTTTGTCCAGAGGGAAAGGCAGGTCAAAAGAAAGAGGGTTGTGAAACCCTCACCAAAGGTACTGACTTTGTTTGAAAACAAGAGATTTCAATGGTAAGCAAGGCTGATACTTCTATGAGGCCAAAAAGCTAAAGTATAGGCCAGATTATCAGAGAGAACCAGAGTAAGACACAACTAAAGAGTCTTCCTGGGGTCAGAACGAATCTCAAAGACTGAGACTGGTCAGAAAAACTACTCCTGGAAAGAGGCCTGCATTCAATTGGATCAGATTGTAGAACAATCTATGACTCAGGGCATTGTGAAAAAATAAACAATAAGCAGACCATTAGAGAAGCCTAACAGTTGGATGTGATAATAACAAAAGCAGACAGCTTAATACAGAGATCAGGAAAAGAGGGCAAAGGGAGCCCTGCTAAAACCACTGCCATTTCAGGTGACTGTGGATGTGTCTAAGGCAGGGGGCTCTAAGGAGTAACATTAGAGGCTTCACACTGCAGGGGCATAAATGAGTTCAACCAAGTCATTATGCGAACAAGTAAACAACAGATGGCATCAAACCCCTGAGAGGGAAAATCCCTATCAAGTGTTGCTGTAGAGAGAACCAAGATGGTGGCATAGGTAAACGCCTGCACTTGCCGCCTCCCACAACTACATCAAAATTACAACTAAAATACAGAACAACCATCATCCAGAAAAGCCAGAAAGCTAGCTGAATGGAAGTCCTACAACTAGAGAAGTAAAGAAAAAAGCACAATGAAACTGGTAGGAGGTGCGGAGGCATAGAAGGGGCTGGTCCAACACCTATGTGTGCTGCTTTTTTAACTGGGAGGGAGAGTGTCTCTTCAGAGGCTTCCCAGAGGAGGAAGGGGTCCCAGTCCCACACCAGACTCCCAGCCCAGGGTCCCAGAGTTGGGAAAAGAAGTCCCAATGAGCAATAAGAACTATGGGCTGTAAAAACCAGTGTGGATTGGGTCTCAGTGACACAGAGGCTGCTGGAGACCCAGCTGCTCCTCTTCAAAGGCCAGTACCGTGAATTGAACTTACAAGTATAGAGCTCCAGCACCAGGGCAAGGCTCTGGGGGTCCCAGGCACATACGAGAAGAAACTAGACTATCTAGCATCAGGGAAAGACCTCGGGGGCTGCTTTTTTTCAGACAGAGGTGCTCACAGGGATCATTGTTCCTATACTGGGACCTTCCTGGTCACAGGGCTGACTGGCAGCCATTATGTTTGCTCTGCCCTGGTGATTCCCTGAGACCCTACCTCATCCAATTTACAACCCCACCCAAGCTGTGTGCAGTGACTTTTGCATATGAATGGCCTGTCCTTGCTCAGGCTAAAATCTGTCAAACAAGCTGAAGTTGGGTTAGGGAGCCCCAAATCTATCAATAAAAGGCTCAAGACCCGACACCAGCATGAGCCTGCCTTGCTTCACAGCTGGGCCTTGTCTGGGTACTTCTAAACCCCATACAAAGAGGAGGAACCTGCAGATCTCTCTGTAGCTCCTGCTGGGTGGACCCAGGCAGTGACTGACTTTACTCCTCTCTGGAGACTCAAGAGCCAGTGTACCCAGTGGTCAGTGTGAGACCATATCAGATTATAACTCTACACATCCATAAGCCACATACTCAAGGAGCAGATTCAGTGAGCACCAAAGCCCCACTGAAGCAAATCCTGCTCCATAAGCATGTCTCCTGCATAGCAGCTCTCCCACTATAGTCGCAATTGGTCCCCACAGGCAATTGGCCTAGAGGTCAATTCCTCCCAGGGACACCAACAGCAAAAGGCTCCACTATAATAAGACTGTACACACAGCCCACAAAGGGATGCACCTAAAGTGTCCACCTTAGGTGATTGGGGAGGGTGTGTCACTAGGTCCCACAGGACACCTACTACACAAGGCCACTCTCTCAACTCAAGGGAACTTAGCAGCTCTAACCAATATATAGAAACAAACACAGGGAAGCAGCCAAAATTTGGAGACAAAGAAACATGTCACAAATGACAGAAATGGAAGAAAGCAAACTACTGAATATAAAATTCAAAACCATGGTTATATGGTTATTCAAGAATCTTTTAGAAACTTCCAAGGGACTTAGTGAGACTTTCAAGGATCTTAGTGAGAATGTCAAAAGCAAGATATTGAAAACCTATTTGAAGAAATAATGACAGAAACCTTCCCCTACCTGATGAAAGAAATAGACTTACAAGTCCAGGAAGCACAGAGAACCCCAAACAAAAGGAATCCAAAGAGAACCACACCAAGACACATCATAATTAAAATGCCAAGGGCGAAAGACAAAGAGAGAATCTTAAAAGCAGCAAGAGAAAAACAGGTACCTACAGGGGAGTACCCATACTAGTGTCAGCTGATTTCTCAACAGAAACCATGCAGGTCAGAAGGGAGTGGCAAGAAATATTCAAAGTGATGAATAGCAAGAACCTACAAACAAGTTTACTCTACCCAGCAAAGCTGTCATTTAGAAATTGAAGGTCAGATAAAGAACTTCACAGACCAGAAAAAGCTAAAGGAGTTCATCACCACAAAACCAATATTATATGAAATGCTGAAGGGTATTCTTTAAGAAGAGGAAGAAGAAGAAAAAGAAAGAGAAAAAAATATGAATAACAAAACAGCAACAAATACATATCTCCAAACAACTGAATCTAAAAATCAAATGAATAAGAAAATCTAATGAACAAAATAAAGTGGTGAATAAAATAAATTCAGAGGTATGGAAATGGAACAGACGGACAATTCTCAGAGGGAAGGGGGTGTGACGAGATTTAAAAAAGATCTTATATACATGTATGCATTACCTATGACACAGACAATACGGTGGAGAAGGCCTGTGGTGGGGCTGGAACAGGGTGGAGGGTAGCCAAGGAGGGAAAAACAAGGGACATCTATAATAATCTCAATAATAAAGATTTTTTTAAAAGTTAAAACAATAAAGAGTTGCTGTAGTCCAGACAGTGTGGCTCAGTGATTGAGCTTCAACTCTTGAACCAAGACATCACTGGTTTTATTCCTAGTCAGGGCACATGCCCAGGTTGTGGGCTTGATGCTCCGTAGAGGGCTTGCAGTAAGCACCAAAAAGGTGATGTTTCTCATCAATGTATCTATCTCTCTATCCCTCTCCTTTCCTCTTCTTACAAATTAATAAACATTTTTTTAAAAGTTGCTATAGTATGTTACTTTAAATGTACAGATTTCAACAAAAAGTATGAGAAATCTGAAGAAATAAGACAGTAGATCAATTATATGTAGGAGGGAAAAGCAAACAACAGAAATAGCCTGTGAGAGGACCCAGATGTCAGGCTTAACAGATGACAGACTTCAAGGCAACCAATATAAATTTTTAAAGTCCTAAAGGAAACCATGTTGTAAAGCAAGGTATGATGACAATTACCCACCTAGGGAAAACTATTAATAATAAGATAGAAATTATAACAAAGAACCAAATGGAAATTCTAAAGTCAGAAAGTATAATAATTAAAATAAAAAATTAATTAGAAGGGATCAAAATAGATTTGAACTGGCAAAAGGAAGAATCAGCAAACCTGGTGATAGATCAGTATAGATGATGCAATTTGAAGAACAGAGGAGAGAAAAAGAATGAAGAAAAGAGAACAAAGATTCAGAGAAACATGTCACAGTATTAAACACACCAAAATATGCATAATGGAAGTATTAGCAGAAGAGGAGAGAAAAGAACAGGAAAAATATTCAAAGAATTTAATGGAAGGAAACTTCTCAAACTTGAAGAAGAATGTTATTAACCTACACCTACAAGAAGCTCAAGAAAGGCCTACTCATAAATACAAAGCAATCCATACTCACACATATCATAGTTAAAATCTTAAAGAAAAAATCTTGAAATCAGCAAAAGAAAAGCAATTTCCCACATATAAGGAAACTCTAATACATTTAACTGCTGACTACTTGTCAGAAAAAAAAAATGAAGCCAGAAACAGAAGTAAAAGAACAAATTAAACTTAAAACAAGCAGAAGGAAAGACATCATAATACATACAGCAGAAATTAATGAAATAGAAAAGAGAAAAATAATACAGAAAAATCAATGAAACCAAAAGTTGGTTCTTTGCAATAAAATGGACAAATCTTTAGCTAGACTGACCAAGAAAGAAGACAGAAGACTCAAAGTATTAATGTCAGAAAGAAAAGAGGAGGCATTACTACTGACATTACAGAAAGAAAAATGATTAGAAAGTAATATGATGAGCACAAACTACAAATTTGATAGTCAACAAATTAAATATATGAAACAAAAAAATTTTTGGAAAGACACAAACTACCAAAAGGGACTCTAAAATAATTACAAAATCTGAATGGACCTATAAAAGGTTGACTTAAGCATTAAACACTACACACAAAGAAAAGTCCAAGTCCCTTAGCTTCACTGGTAAATTCTATCAAACATTTAACAAGGAACTAATACCATTTTTTTACAAACTCTACCAAAAATTATGAGAAAGGAACATTTCTTAGCTTATTAGATAAGGCCACTATAACTCTGATACCCAAACCAGACAAAGACATCACAAGAAAAGAAAACAAAAGAGCAATATTTCCTATAAATATAGACACAAAAAATATTCTAGATAAATGAATAAACATACCAGCAACATATAAAAAGGATTGTACACCATGACTAAATAAGTTTATACAAGGAATGCAAGGTCATTTTATCATATAAAACCAATCACTGTAATGCACCATAACAATAAAGGACAAAAATAACACAATCATTTGAAACAAAACGCATTTGAAAAAACCCAACACCCTTTCATGATAAAAAAAAACAACAACCATAAAAACTAGGAATGGAAGGAAATGAAACTTCCTCAACCTTTTGTAATAAAAGGTAAACTTTTGTAGATAAAGGCCATCTATTAAAAACCCCACACCTACATTATACTTAACTAGAGGCCCAGTGCATGAAATTCGTGCACTCAGTGTGTGGAGGGGGGATCCGTCTGCCTGGCCTGCACCCTCTTCTAGTCTGGGAACCCTCAGGGGATGTCTTACTGTTGGCTCCCAGACTGGCTTAGGCCCGCTCCTTAGCACTGCTGCAGATGCGGGAGAGGCTCCTGCCACCACCACTGCACTCACCGCCATGAGCCCAGCTTCTGTCAGAGCATCCCTCCCACTGTGGGAGCACACTGACCACCAGGGAGCAGCTCTTGCATTGAGCGTCTGCCCACTAGTGGTCAGTGCGCATCATAGCGACCGGTCATTCTGCTATTGGGCCAAGAACCAGCTCTCCAACATTCCCCAAGGGATCCCAGATTGCGTGACGGTGTAGGCCAGGCCGAGGGACCCCACCAGTGCACGATCAGGGCCAGGGAGGGACGTGGGAGGTTGGCCAGCTGGGGAGGGACCATGGGAGGGCTCATCTAGCCCATCTCACTCAGTCCCAATCGGCCAGACCCCAGCAGCAAGCTAACCTACTAGTAGGAGCGTCTGCCCCCTGGTGGTCAGTGCATGTCATAGCGAGCAGTTGAGCGATCTTAGCATATCATTAGCATATTACGTTTTGATTGGTTGAACAGCTGACTGGATGATCGGACACTTAGCATATTAGGCTTTTATTATATCAATAATATATAGGATGGTGAAAGACTAGCTGCTTTCCCCTTAAGATCAGAAATAAGATGAGGATGTCTGTTCTTACAATTTCTGTTCATCATTGTAGTGAGGTTCCTACTCGGGGCAATTAAGCAAGAAAAGGAAATAAAAGGCATGCATATGGTTAAGAAAAAAGTAAAACTATCTCTATTTGTAGATTACATGACATATATGTATGTGTGTGTATGTGAGGCCCGGTGCGCAAAATTCATACAC